CCTGACATATCGCCAGAATTGCACGTAACCCGCATAACGGCAATGGCATATGCAATACTGTACTAGCAATATATTCTGGAACATATTTTGGAAATTAAAAAGAGAATACCTCATAACCTTATACACAATATATGTTAGGCCAGTCATAGACTACTGGTCCCAGCATGGAACCTGCACATGATCAAGCACTTGAAGAAACTGGAAAAAGATGCAAACGCTTGCAACACTGCTAGTACTGTGAGAAGTTGAAAAAAAAAAACTGACCCTGACGCCCTCAGAGGAGAGAATAATAAGGGGAGACATGATTGCTACGCACAAGGTCTTAAAAGGAACTGACAGGGCTGATAGAGACAGACTGAATGAAGTGGATCAGGGTCAAGGGGACGCAGGTGTAAACTGAAAACGCAGAGGAACCATCGGAGTATAAAGAAGTATTTCTTTAGTCTCAGAAGGCAGTGGTGGAGGCAAACTCAATACGGGGCTTCAAGAGTAGATATGATAAGATCTCAAAGGCCAGAAGTCAGTGATGCCGATCTGATTGGTCTGAATGGAAGGCGAGGCCAGGAGCTAAATATCAACCCCACCCCTCACACACACACACCACACACCACACACCACCACACACAAACACCACACACACACACACACACCACCACACATACCACACACACACACACACACACACACACACTGGAACAAGACAGGTCAGTAAATAAGGTACTAAAGTTCAGAAAACTTCAATACTACTTAAATACTACAATACAATTCCATAAATCATTGTTCAATATTAATAATAATAAAATAATAATTGACGTAAACAGAGTTGAAGAATACTGAACAAATATAAAATATGAGATATTATTAGCGAAGCTACAAATAAATATTTAACAAATTAAACAATTAATAGGAGACATCACTAGCATAGCTCTTCTCTTTTACGTGCAAAGAACCAATTAAAATAGGTCGTTACAAATACGCATGTAAAATAACCATCAGCTTAACCTGCTAGCAAACCACTGAATGATCACCGGAACTCTTTTGTCCACCTTCTTCAAAGTGTGTGCCTTTGGTACTGGTGAGGGGCTCTTGATCCAAAGATTTGAAGCTATCCTCCCCTTCCTCTGATCAAACCTATTTACCTCCCATTCGCCAGGCGCTGAACAAACATTCCCTGAGTAGACACGATGACTTCAGCGCTGATAGATCCACACAGCTTTGTTGTGATTACAATATTAATCACAGGAGCAAACAACAGCTCTTTTAAAGTGCCAAGAGCCAGCCAATAGAGTCAGGTGCTGATGGCACTCGTCTCCTATTGTGACATCCAGGAGCCAAACACACCTCCATCTTTGTCATTCAAGACTTGAATAATTTGAAATCAGATGTAAAGAGACTGATGGATGCAGCTGTGATGACAGAAATGTTATGATGATGTTGTGACGCAGTTGTGATGACGCTCTTGTTGGGACGAAATTGATTTTCTACTTTTTTGATGCTTTTATTCTCTCTCTCTCTCTCTCTCTCTCTCTCTCTCCTCTCTCTCTCTCTCCTCTCTCTCTCTCTCTCCCCTCTCTCTCCTCTCTCTTCTCTCTCTCTCTCTCTCTCTAGGTCATTCTACCTCAGAGATAAATTTAAACAAACATAGATCTTCACCTTTCCATCACTTCCCCCCTTTTTCCTTCTCTTTCCACTTCTCAGTTATTACTCTCCTTTTCTCATTCCTGGCCCATCCCCGTACCTTCCCTGTCTCTTGCATCACCACTTCGTTTGCCTTTCTCCTTTACCACTCACCATATTCCCTTTCTACCTCACCATCCACCTTTTTCCCTTTCTCCCTTTTACCCTCTCTCTCCCATTTCTCCCTGATCAACAATCCCCTCTCTTCTTTCTTCTATCATTCTCTTTACCTTTATTTCCCCTCTCTACACCCCAACAGGAGAGAGATGTGAGAGGGGAATAATAATAATAATAATAATAATAAACAATAATTCATGTTAAGCGCTAAACCCATGTGGATCATTCTACTCAAGATGTGGTGGAGGCTCGATCCTCCGTCTGCTGAGCGCCAGACAGACAAACAGACACGCTTCCTATTTGTACTAGCCTACATGTTTGTGAGAGGGGAAAACATGGTAAACTATTGTCCGACTTTCGCTTGTACAATAGTCTCGGCAGACGAGGTCAGGATAGTGCGTAAAATTGCGTGTCGTTGCGTAATGAGCCAAGTTGATAATACAATGAAACGTTTTGCTCTAATAACGGATTTTTTCCGAAAATCTTCACTTATTCATTGGTAAATGCTGTTTTTTTTTTAGGGGGGAGGGGGTAAATTAACATGGCATCGAAACTAACATAGCAACTTAACTCAATATTGTTAATATTACTGAAATATAATGTAGGTCAATCCTAATCACCACGACTTAAATTCAACCAAAATTTGATTAGGATGAACAACGGGGAAATATATTAGTTAGGTTAGGTAAGGTAAGGTAAGGTAAGGTAAGGTAAGGTTAGGTAAGGTAAGGTTAAGTAAGGTTAGGTTAGGTTAGGTTAGGTTAGGTTAGGTTAGGTTAGGCTAGGTTAGGTTAGGTAAGGTAAGGTAAGGTAAGGTTAGGGTTTGGTTAGGTTTAAGGTAAGGTAAGGTTAGGGTTTTGGTTAGGTAAGGTTAGGTAAGGTAAGGTTAAGGGAAGGTTAGGTTAGGTTAGGTTAGTAGGTTAGGTAAGGTTTAAAGGTAAGGTAAGGTTTAGGTTAGGTTAGGTAAGGTAAGGTTTGGTTAGGTTAGGTTAGGTTAGGTAAGGTAAGGTTAAGTAAGGTTAGGTTAGGTTAGGTAAGGTTAGGTAAGGTAAGGTTAAGTAAGGTTAGGTTAGGTTAGGTTAGGTTTTAGGGTTTGGTAGGTTTAGGCTAGGTTAGGGGTAAGGTTAAAGGGAAGTTAGGTTAGGTTAGGTTTGGTTAGGTTAGGTTAGGGTTTGGTTAGGTTAGGTTAGGTTAGGTAAAGGTTTAAAGGTAACGTAAGGAAGGTAAGGTAAGGTTAGGTTAGGTAAGGTAAGGTAAGGTAAGGTTTGGTTAGGTTTTGGTTGGCTAGGTTAGGTTAGGTAAAGGTAAGATAAGGTAAGTAAGGTTAGGTTAGGTAAGGTAAGGTAAGGTTTTGGTTTTGGTTAGGTTAGGTTAGGTTAGGTTAGTAAGGTAATGTAAGGTAAGGTAAGGTTAGGTTAGGGGTTTGGTTAGTTAGGTAAGGTTAGGTTAAGGTTAGGTTTGGTTAGGTTTTGGTTAGGCTAGGGTTTGGTAAGGTAAGGTTAGGGAAAGGGTTTGGTTAGGTTAGGTTTTGGGTAGGTTAGGTTAGGTAAGGTAGGTAAGGTTAGGTTAGGTAGGTTAGGTTAGGAAGGTTAGGTAAGGTTAGGTAAGGGTTTGTTGGTTAGGTTAGGTTAGGTTAGGTTAGGTTTTGGCTAGGTTAGGGTTTGGTAAGGTTAGGTTAGGTTAGGTTAGGTTAGGTTGGTAAGGTTAGGTTAGGTTAGGTTAGGTAAGGTAAGGTTAGGTTTAAGTTAGGGGGTTTGTTTGGTTAGTTAGGTTAGGTTGTTAGGTAAGGTAGGTTAGGTAGGTTAGGTAAGGTAAGGTAAGGTTAGTTAGGTTAGGTTAGGTTAGGTTAGGTTAGGTAGGTTAGGTAAGTAAGGTTAGGTTAGGTTAGGTTAGGTTTGGTAAAGGTAAGGTTTGGTTAGGTTAGGTTAGGTAAGGTTAGGTTAGGTTAGGTTAGGTAAGGTTTAGGTTAGGTAGGTTAGGTAAGGTAGGTTAGGTAGGTTAGGTTAAAGGTTTTGGGGGTTTGGTAAAGGTTTAAGGTTAGGTAAGGTAAGGTTAGGTTAGGTTAGGTTAGGTTAGGTTAGGTAAGGTTAGGTTAGGTTAGGTTAGGTTAGGTAAGGTTAGGTTAGGTTAGGTTAGGTTAGGTAAAGGTAGGTTAGGTTAGGTTAGGGGAAGGGTAGGTTAGGTTAGGGTTTGGTTTAAGGTAAAGGTTTTTAGGTTAGGTTAGTTAGGGTTTGTTAGGTTAGGTTAGGTTAGGTTAGGTTAGGTAAGATTCGCCAAGGAATAGGACAAGTGTTTCGTGATGCGGGTCTTAGTCATATGATGACCCGCAGCTGGAGCTTTTGGTCATTTCACCGAGACCTTCCGCTGGCTTACCCCTCCACCCCTTTAAAAAATAAGGTTATAATTATAACATTTATTGTTGGTGGTTTTTATTATTTTTGGTGATTTTTTTTTATAGTAATATTCGCCCTCGGCAGGGGGGCTGACCCCGGAAACTCTCCAGGTATACCCTTCAGGTATTGCCGAATAATCCAATTTAGTTTAAATTTTGATACAGTGAACACGCCTCTTAGCGAGGAGGCCTTTCTGCTGGGGAAGAATGTTGATCCCCGAACCGGAGTCTTCCTTCCCTTTCTTTGAGTCAAATAGATTATCTCCCCTTTTATCCAGGCGTTGTTGACTCCCCGCAATTCCACCTTTCCCCTGTAATAAAATATCACACAGATACCCTGTACAATGAGATATACAATTCGGTGTATTTTTTCCCCATGGGCTCCTTCACCGCACAGCCAAATAGGAAAATAATTAGAACAAAATAAATATACAAATAACCCGGAATAGGAGAGAGAGCTTATACGACGTTTCGGTCCAAAGGTACCATTACAAGTCACTCTACCTTCGCGGTAAGTTGAACTTTGTAAATGGTCCAAGTCGACAGAACGTCCGGCATAAGTTTCTCCTCCTATGTGCGGGTTATTGTGTAATTGTGTATTTGTATTTGTGTATTAATTGGTAAATTAAAGAACAATACGCTAATAAAAGGCAAAGTGTCATAAACTAATCGACATTTTAATTGTCACATTATTGCAACCTGTGTCCCTTTTACCTAAAAATTGTGTCTGTTCCACTCACGATATCGGGACGTTTTTTTCTTTCTTCGGAACAAAATAAGCGACGATAAAGGCGAAGTAAATAATTGTACCAACCTTTTAACAGGGCCGCTGGGCAGTCGCACCTTGTCCGAGAGTTTGTGTAAGGCTTCATCCCAGTTACTAAAGTCTGACTTTGAGAATTTGTACTTGATTGCTTTCTCTCCGTCGCCGTTCTTATAGATCACCACGTTGTAAATGTCGTTCTTCTCAACCGGTCGCAGATGGATGGTCTGAAAAAGTGAAAGTTGCGAGGGATTGGAAACAAAAATGAGAGTGCAACATGTCTTTGCTCTTAATAGCGTAATGTTAATGGATGAAGTGTTTGAATTTGTGTGTTCGATCTCGTGGTTCCTGATGGATGGATCCCCGGTGAGAAAGGTTGGATTTAATGGGTGGGAATGGTTGGATGTAATGGGTGGGAATTCTTGGATTTTATGGCCGGGAATGGATGGATTTGATGATTGGGAATGGTTGGATTTAATGGATGGAAATGGTTGGATTTAATGGGAGGGAATGGTTGGATTTAATGGGAGGGAATGGTTGGATTTAATGGGAAAGAATGATTGGATTTAATATGTATGAATTCTTGGATTTAGTGAGAGGGAATGTTTGATTTAATGGAAGGGAATGGTTGGATTTAATGAGAGGGAATGGCTAGATTTAATGGGAGGGAATGGCTAGATTTAGTGGAAGGGAATGGCTAGATTTAATGGGAGGAAATGGCTGGATTTAATGGGAAGGGATGATTAGAATTTTTGAGTGGGAATGGTTTAATTTGAGAAGGACCTGCTAGGTAAAGTATGAGCCAGTAGGCTTTCTGCAGTGTTCATCCACTCTTACTTTCCGGCATATAAGGTGCGCCTTTATTCCTCACAAAAAAGTCTTGGAAAATCAGCCTGCGCCAGGGTCAACGGTAAGCTTCAGGTTGTGCTTCAGCGTACAGCAAGAAGGATGTGATTACTGATCTGCCGTTACGATACTTCCGTCGTGCGCCTTATATGCCGGAAATACAGTATATACCCATGATAAATAGATTAGAGTAGTTACCACATAGATTCATTGCGGATGATGTGGACTGGTGGACAATTCGCCATCTGAAAGCCTTAGTTGGGGTTCACGAAAGTCTGGGTAAATCAGCCTGCCCGGGACAAACGGTTAAGTTTTAGTTTTTTTGTGTGTTGCGTTGTACAGCAAGAGTGTTAGTATTACTGAGCTTCCATTACGTGTACTTCGTCGTTGTCGCCTTATATGTCCTGTAAAATACAGTATACCAATGAAATATATTAATTAGATTCATTATTTTATAATTATTATTATTGAGAATTATGTAGGATTGGTGTATAATTAGACATTATGAAAACTTATTTTGGTGGGGTTTATTCGTAGCTTGTTTTATGTTATTTATGCCTGGATAAGTAATATTTTTTTTATATTTTTTGCTGTGTGATAAAGTGAAAATGACTGTAATACACAAGCTTCCCTTATTTGGACAAGAATGTTTCTGCCTTGTTATGGATTGCTCGTAAACATGTCTCTATGAATTGGAATGAATTTATGATACTTTTATTATGAGGGCAGTTTTATATGAAGATTATTATGAATTATTATGGAAAATATTAATTTTATGGCATGCTAATAATATATATTTTTATACTAGTTTCATTATTTTTTCCGATATATAGGTGGACCTCTTCCAAAGAAAAGCAAAATCAGCCATGCCCTCAGAAGTCAAAGCTTCCAATTATTTGCGTACAACTTCTGCCTTAAGCCAGGAAATACTAGTATATACCTGAAATGAGAATTAAGATGTCTACAAATAAGTCAAGATATGATGTACAGACAGGTGCACAGTTAGGACACTTCATGAAATCTAGTCAACATCGGAACTAGTTAAGTTTAGCCCAGGATAAGAAATTTTATTTACAAGGTGTCTTATTGGTATGTGTAATTGACCAGCTATAAACAAAGGCAATCACATCATAGTATTCATTGTTGTTAGTGAGAAATATGTACCTGTGAAACTGAGATCATCAATAAGTTCAATAATTCATATATTTTATTCATATACATATTATGATATTACTTATTAAATTATATATCAAGTTGTTGTTGATTGCCGATTACAATATATTATCTGTTATAATGAATTAATATTTATTTTATTACAGTTAATATAATAGGTTAATAGTGACTAGCTTAAGACATTGATGAGCATGGATCAAAGAATTAAACTCCAGGAGATCAAACACTCACTCCTTTATTGCCCAGTGATCCTTTCTGTATTCCTCATGAAAAATTCATATTACTCCACTGATAACAACAGCTTTTGGCCAGTCGTTACTTCGAGGCTCTGTAACACATTAAATATTAATCTTGTTAGCAGCTATAAATTGATCTTTCTGCAACGTGTCTTCCATAGTAGGAGAAGCCTTATGCAGATGGAAGCAAATGTCAGGGTCAATCATTTCAGTCAGGAAAGACCTTCAATAGATTATTGTTAGCTACTGAATTGAAAGAATCAAGCTCATAGGATTAAAAAGTCTATTCAGGTGAACTGTACACATAAGCACAGTTACATAATTATCTATCACAGATGAGGTATGAACATCTATCAGGAGAAGGGACTGAACATAGTCAAGACAAGGTGACTATATCATTTAAGGTTAGTACTAGACTATATCAACTGAGATAATGAAATTATCAAGTGAGGGATGAACATTATCAAGGCTGAGGGATAAACATCTATCAAGACTGACGGGATGATACATTATCAAGGCTGAGGTACTGAACATCTATCAAGGCTGAGGGACTGAACATCTATCAAGACTGAGGGACTGAACATCTTTCAAGGCTGAGGTACTGAACATTATATCAAGGCTGAGAAACTGTATACATCATATCAAGGCTGAGGGATGAACATTATCAAGACTGAGGACTGAACATCTCATAGGCTGAGGGATGAACATCTATTCAAGCTCGAGGTTACTGAACATCTATCAAGGCTGAGGGATGAATATATCTATCAAGGCTGAGGTACTGAACCATCTTTCCAGTCATACGGCTGAGGGACTGAACATTATCAAGGCTGAGGGTATGATTAATCTATCAGGCTGAGGTACTGAACATCTATCAAGGCTGAGGTATCTGAACATCAAGGCTGAGGGACTGAACATCTATCAAGGCTGAGGTACTGAACATCTATCAAGGCTGAGGGACTGAACATCTATCAAGGCTGAGGTACTGAACATCTTTCAAGGCTGAGAGTACTGAACATCTATCAAGGCTGAGGAACTGAACATCTATCAAGGCTGAGGGACTGAACATCTATCAAGGCTGAGGTACTGAACATCTATCAAGGCTGAGGGACTGAACATCTATCAAGGCTGAGGAACTGAACATCTATCAAGGCTGAGGGACTGAACATCTATCAAGGCTGAGGTACTGAACATCTATCAAGGCTGAGGACTGAACATCTATCAAGGCTGAGGGACTGAACATCTATCAAGGCTGAGGACTGAACATCTATCAAGGCTGAGGGACTGAACATCTATCAAGGCTGAGGGACTGAACATCTATCAAGGCTGAGGGACTGAACATCTATCAAGGCTGAGGGACTGAACATCTATCAAGGCTGAGGGACTGAACATCTATCAAGGCTGAGGGACTGAACATCTATCAAGGCTGAGGTACTGAACATCTATCAAGGCTGAGGTACTGAACATCTATCAAGGCTGAGGGACTGAACATCTATCAAGGCTGAGGGACTGAACATCTATCAAGGCTGAGGGACTGAACATCTATCAAGGCTGAGGGACTGAACATCTATCAAGGCTGAGGGACTGAACATCTATCAAGGCTGAGGGACTGAACATCTAATCAAGGCTGAGGTACTGAACATCTATCAAGGCTGAGGGACTGAACATCTATCAAGGCTGAGGTACTGAACATCTATCAAGGCTGAGGGACTGAACATCTATCAAGGCTGAGGGACTGAACATCTATCAAGGCTGAGGGACTGATCATCTATCAAGGCTGAGGTACTGAACATCTATCAAGGCTGAGGGACTGAACATCTATCAAGGCTGAGGTACTGAACATCTATCAAGGCTGAGGACTGAACATCTATCAAGGCTGAGGACTGAACATCTATCAAGGCTGAGGGACTGATCATCTATCAAGGCTGAGGTACTGAACATCTATCAAGGCTGAGGGACTGAACATCTATCAAGGCTGAGGGACTGAACATCTATCAAGGCTGAGGGACTGATCATCTATCAAGGCTGAGGACTGAACATCTATCAAGGCTGAGGTATACTGAAACATCTTATCAAGGCTGAGGGACTGATCATCTATCAAGGCTGAGGGACTGAACATCTATCAAGGCTGAGGGACTGAACATCTATCAAGGCTGAGGTACTGAACATCTATCAAGGCTGAGGGACTGAACATCTATCAAGGCTAGGATGAACATCTATCAAGGCTGAGGACTGACATCTATCAAGGCTGAGGTACTGAACATCTATCAAGCTGAGGACTGAACATCTATCAAGGCTGTGGGACTGAACATCTATCAAGGCTGAGGTACTGAACATCTATCAAGGCTGTGGGACTGATCATCTATCAAGGCTGAGGTACTGAACATCTATCAAGGCTGTGGGACTGAACATCTATCAAGGCTGAGGGACTGAACATCTATCAAGGCAGAGGTACTGAACATCTATCAAGGCTGAGGGACTGATCATCTATCAAGGCTGAGGGACTGATCATCTATCAAGGCTGAGGTACTGAACATCTATCAAGGCTGAGGGACTGAACATCTATCAAGGCTGAGGTACTGAACATCTATCAAGGCTGAGGTACTGAACATCTATCAAGGCTGAGGTACTGAACATCTATCAAGGCTGAGGGACTAAGTACTTCAAACCTGCTTCGCCCCGGTCTTCGTATATGACGAAAGAAATTAGTGGTGGGCAAAACGTCTCATGAAAAAAAAAGTACTGTTTTATTTTATGCATAGTATGACTCTTCACGACGTTTTCTAAATTCAGTTACTTCTTTTGCAAAAACTTCTTCCATTTCTGCAATAATATTAATAATAATAATAATAATAATAATAATAATAATAATAATAATAATAATAATAATAATAATAATAATAATAATAATAAAATGAAAAAAGTCAAACTTCCTTATATGTATTCACGTGAGTGTGAGTTGTATATACCAAAAAATTGTTTTCCAATACAGTTTCTGGAAACCAATAACGACGCGAAATCTGATGCAATTTAACTTGATGCATAATAGGAAATGAGGCTAAATCAGATATGAATTAGGTGAGTTTACCTTCCATGTTGCCGGGTGACTTATGTAATG